GTCAAAGGGGCTTCCACTGAGTGGGGGATATCATGTCTCATTTTTGGGGATTACTCCCTCAAAGTTAACCTGACTATACCGCCCGTCCTATATTATGTTAGCCCAAGTCCAGGTATAAGACTTATGAGAAATCACCAAGCACTCTGAAAACCAGGAAAATCCAGACAAACATATATAGCACATAATATATAACAAACAATGGCACATATATAGATATAAACAAAGATAGGCTCAACCCACTTAGGGATGGACCAGTAAGAGGTCAATCTTTCCCCGGTAAAGTCGCCATTTTTATTTATAGCGGTATAAATGTTGAGACAAAGCCATTAGATTGACTTAACTCAAACAGATCAAAATAAAAATCTCCACCGCGCTTTACTGTTTCCAAAGGAATGGGAAAAGAGAAAATAATCCAAAAGAGGGGGGAAAGAATCTAGTTAAGGGGGTTGGTTATGCAAAGGGAAGTTATTAGCACCCTAAACATCTACGGTACTCCGTAAGAACCTCTTTGTAAATCTGTATATTTTGGCTATAAAATGTTGTATACAAAAATAGATTATGGGGATGAGAAAAGAAATATTTTTATAATTTTGCACCCGCTACAGTTGCGAATCTTTAGTGCCTACGTACGACCTTCCGTGCAATATGGGATCAAGGTACTCGTTGTTCACCTTTTAAATATTTTAAAACACAAGTGTGTTGGTTAATTTTAAGAAACGAGACATCATCATCATTGTCCGAGTGGAAAACATACTTACTACCTACAATCATGAGAAAGGAGAATTTGCATCAACTCAAAGTGGAGGATATGACTTGGATTTTAAAATCAACAAAAACCTCACTCAACACCCAAGTGGAAAATATATCACTTCACTATATATCGTAGAAGTGTAGTTGTTTGCATAACTACAAGGATTGACAAGAGTCTAATCTTGTGAGAAATTTTTTAAAGATAAGAGCCAAAATGGAAAAATAGTTTGAATGAGATTGATTGACTTTTAGTATTCTCATAAAAATGTCCAAGTATTATTAAATTGATTAAAGTTTGATTAAGAAAATATTTTTGAAAATGCATGAACCTAAGTCCAAGTTTATTATAAAAGTGGTTCAAGTTTTAAAATAAGAAGAATTTTCAAAAGGAGGGAGAATATTTTGAAATTAAATAAGATGGGAGGAGATTAAGGGACTATCCTAAAGCATAAGGGAAAAGCTAGGGAAAAGAACCGTCTAACCAACAAGAAGCCACCACTTGACACAATGAGTCAATGTAGAATTCTCATCCTTTGATTTGAAACAAAACAAACAATTACAAAAAATACCTCTTAAGAAAACCAAACTCCATTTGTATTAAGTCTTCACAAAAATTGGGCAGAGTAACGGTTGTATACAGATAAATTCCAGATCACAGATAAAACATGTAATCACAATAACCTGCACACAAAACAAACAACACAATGTCTTGGGGTAAACCCCAACAACTCCAGACAAAATAACAGTTGAGGTCACAAGGTCTTCAAGATAGGTTAAGGCCCATAGTCCTAAGTCCAAGAAGTCCATGTCTCCAAAGTGTAAAGGATAGTAACCAAGTAGTCCAAGTAATGTTAAAGTTTTTTTTTATGGTTCAAGTTGATTATTAAGTATTTTCAAAAAAAGAAATGAAAAAGCTCAAATGAGCAAAATAAAAATGACATAAAAGTAAATGCTCAAGTGATCAAAGATGAAAATAGCATGAAATGCAAATGCTAAAATAAATGTGCTTAAAGTAAAGGCATAAAGTAAAAGCATAAAATAAAGTCAATTGTTAGGAATTAGTGGTTAGTTGAATGATCATATTTAAACTTGTATTTGGAACTCATTAGAGGATTGGTATAACCAAAGCCTCTCAACAACAAGTTGTATTTGCTTTTTGTCAAGTATATCATCCATTTAAGAATTCTTAAGGCAACATTAAATTATCAATGATGTTTAAGTGATCCACTTTGACCAAAATTGATGAAGATTCATTAGAGGATTGGTAGAACCAAAGCCTCCAAACAATGAATCTCAAGGTTATTGGATCAAAGGGTTCAAATCAACATACTTGGGCTTGCAAACATGGATTTGGGCCACGAATGATCATTTCTCGAATTGGGACAAAATTTAGCGCTATGTTAAGCAATCGTAAGTGGACTTATATAGAAGTCGCACCTATTTTGAGGCTGTTAAATAGCAATCTATGTACCATATGTTTTGAGACATGATATGGAAATCATGCTCCAATAATATTCGGTACAATTGAAAAAGAGATGAGATGAAGAAGAAATAGGGCAAAAAGTAAACCACATTTGAACCAAAAATTTAATCAAACTATTATTAAAATCATCCATCCATTTTTATGGAGTTAGACTCAACACCATGGATCCAATGATGTTAATAAAGTTCATGATCAAAATTTAATAGTCCAAGATCAGCCAGAATATGTACAAAAAATAAAATAATATTTAAAATAAAAGAAAAATGTTTTAAATGATTTTAAAATTTGGAAATAAAGGAAAAATAGCAATTATATTCAAAACACTCAAGAAAAATTAAGTGAGACCATAGAAAAATCCGAAATGTGCTCAAATATATATAAAAATTTTGGTAATTTTTTAAAGTCAAAAACTATTTTTTAAAATTAAAATAAATAGACAAAATAAACCAAAAATAAATAAAAATAGTAAAGTCAGAAATAAAAAATGAGTGAGGTCACCAATATTTGTCAAAAGATCATTGGATTTCTCCCTAATTTTTCCAGAATTTAAAAATGAAGAAAAGTATTTTTTTAACAACTAAAACAATTCAAATAAAGTGAAAAATTATAAAAAAAATATCAAAACAAAAAATAAAATTGTGAAAAAATAAAAATCAGAAAGATAAAAATCAAAAGTATTTATCATAATTTTTTCAGATTTTTTGAAGTTAAAATAGATTTTTTATGATTTTTTGAAGTTTAAAACAATTTAAATATAAAAATCATAAAACAAAATAAATTCAAAAAAAATGTGGACCAATAGATGAGTGTCAAAACGGGTTAGTAAGTTAATCCAATAGATCAGACGCGTTGTGCATATCATGGTCATTATTCAATAAAGCACTGATTCAAATATTAAATCAGATTTTTGAAAATTCCAAATGACACGCTTTCATTGGTTGAAGGATGACACGTTAGTCATCTTCAACCTCCAGCCAGTCTCAAAACCAGGTTCCTCAAACTGTAAAATTAGATCTCGAGACCGATACCATTCACTTTGTCTCATCAAGATGAAGACAACCACACCTTCGTGAAAAATTTATATAAACTGTAGCTCAGTAGTTTTGGAAGAGAAGTTTTGAAAATGGATTTGAAATTTCATGGTCAAAAGGTGTTTCTAGTTGAAAACAAATGTTGCAACTAGAATCAGGATGATGAGAGCTTCATAATAGTATCAAAGTTTGAGAGAATTGGTGAAGGAATCTACCTATTAAAGTTAAGTTGCAGAGCTCTGAAATTGGACTTGGCTATCACGATTCAGGGAGTTTTAGAGCTTAATTCTTCTTCTGTTAACTTCAGTGAGGATCAAGGAAGGGGAATTGATAGTTAAAAAAGATTGAGAAAGGCTGTAAGAGCAAATTTAAAGTTGCAGAAAATTGTGTTCAAGAGAGAGTTTGGCAGGGTGATTCTGACTTTCCAAGCTTAAGAAAATGAATGAGGGATGATCCTCTATTTATAGGGAAGTTGATTGAATGCTCAAGCGTGTGAAATTATGAAGTTTTGAGGGAAATCGTGTAAAGTGTTATACCCAAAAATTTGTACTCTTCATCTTACTTTTGTGGCTTATGTTTCGTCATACACATTCATGCATTTTAAAGACAGGATCAAGGTATCTATTGTTTTCATGATCTTCTAAAAATTATGAAGTTGGTTATTTCATCAACCATTGAAGATATGAGTCTCAGACCCTCAATTTTTGGGGTCACTCAAGCTATAAGAGGTTCTCATGCTTTAGGATATCTCGAATGTATTCTTAATTCGTCAAAATTTTGAATGGGCAAGTATATTGAAGATGATCCTTGTTTTCTCCTATCCATTGGCTTTTGTTCCAGAGTTTTGATTATTGAATATGTGACGTATTTCTTGACAAAAATATTTGAATCATTATCATCCTGAGTTTTATCGCAGGGCAAGTTCAATCATCAACTAAGAAGAGATTTTATCTAGTTCTAAGATCAAGTGAATATTTGATTTCTTGAAGCGCAAGTCGCTTATGTTTAGAAAGTTGGAGAAAGTTTCATCTGTAAATTGAGGATTGGGATGCATTTTTACTGCATTAGGTATCATCATATGACTCAGGGTTTGACCTAGCAATTATCATCATTTAAGGCGCTTATGATCTTTTGAAGGTTGACTCTTCATTTGGGGGTTTGAATGATTTGTTTGCTGGAAGAGAATCCATTTGAAATGTTTGTTCAAGTTTCATTCATGGCCATTTCCTTGAGATTTATGTCATACTTTCATCATACACTTCAAATAAAAACAAAGTGAGATGGAGAAGGCTAATCAGAATTGGCTATCATTGGAATTCAAGTTCTACTCATTCATTTTGGTACCTATTTCTACAAGTCTAACTTTATACAAATTTCATCCATTGCTCACCAAAGTTCTTATACCATTTCTCATTGCAAAAGATTCAAATTTCTCAAAATTCTCAAGATTTACAAGAACTTTCAAATTCCTAAGAAAAGACACTGAAGTTTCAATTTCACAATAAAAGGAAGTTTGTTCAAGTTCAAGTTCCAAGTCTTCAAGACTTACAAGTTCAATTTCAAACTTGAATCCATACAAGTTTACAAATATTGAAAACACAAGTTGACTTCAATACAAAAGCAAAAGTTGAATAAGTCTTTATTGGATTCCATCCAAGATTTAGTTTGTTTTACAAACACTTTGACAAAAAGTTTGTTTTACAAATTCTATCCTAAATATGCTAAGCTTACAAAATTTACATTGAGGCAAATTCCAATTTAAATTCAACGAAAAATAAAGAGTTACATAAGTATGAGTTCTTGGGTTTGACTTCTTCTTCTTCAAGCATCTTCTCCATGCTCATATTGGTCAACTTTACATCTTCATTCTTCATGCTTTCACCATTGTTGTGTTCATAAAACAAAAGATGAAAAAATAAATTGGTTAGAAAGCAATCAAACATTGAAACTTAAACAAAAGTTTACAAGAAGTTTCATTTTCAAATTCATCATCAGGGTTTGTGTTTGGAATCAGATTTTAGGGATGTGAGTTCAATCATGGATTTGAGCAACATCAAGGCCTCAAAAATTTTGTTTCACACAAGTCAGAACCCATTGTTTTAATCATGGGTCAAATAACTTATATTGCAAATCTCAAACAAATCCAAGAAAATGGTTCCGTCCAGTTCACACTAAAATAGGGCAAGTGTAAATTACATTTTAAGCCTAAAAAACAGATGCAGCAAGCAGCAAAACTCAGCAGTACATCATCACAGCATTGCAAGGAAAATATCAGAAAATAAAAACAAACTCAGAATTGCAACAGTTCAGCCCAACAAACAGTTTGTTATCACACATCAGAGACATCACAGATCCAACAAAATAAAAACAAACGGAAAGTCAGAAGCCCTAATTTTTCATCATCATTTTCCCTTGCACAATCCCTTCAGAATACAGAGAAAGAGAAGAGGAAAATAAGCTTTCGAGAAACTCAGAATTAGAAAGATATTACCGGAAAGAGCCTCAACTATCGGTATCCTATCGCGAGCTTGATAAACTCACAACTTCGTTACAGTCATGTCTTTCTCATCATTAGGTACCTGAAGTTGAACCAAAAACAGAGCTGCAAGCCAGCCTTAGCAAGGGTCCGACATTCAGTTTGTATGTATCATAACTTGGCTATATATCTTGTAAGGCATCCCCAACACAATCGAGAAACCTGCATATTCAAATTAGAAAATAAAAATAGAAAGAAAATTAGAGGTGAGGAGGAATTTGCAAAAGGAGATTAAATCAGAAAATATTGTGAAACTAAAAAGTCAGCAATTTATCCAAGGCTTCTCAAGCAAGTTTCACAAACTCAGTTTTGACCATTCAATTTCTCTAACCGAAAATCAAATTCAACAGCTAAGATTGAATCAAGTTGTAACTAACTTCTGCTGATAATAGAAATATAAAAAGGGCAATCACTTTGCATCATTCTGGATTCTGGACCATCTGGAGAATCACCACAAGAATCTCAAAAAAATTCTCTCCCTCTTCAATCTCCATTTTCTCTCACCTTCATCTTCATCTTCTTCCTTCAATCTCCATAGAAGAATCACATATTCTTCACTCTGCATCTTCATCCACCGAAAAATTAAGAAAACTCTTTATTCTTCTTCAACATAACCTTCAATCCTCATTGCACGCACGATTCTTTACAAGATTCAGAAAACAGAAAAAAAACTCACCAAAATATCTCAACCCTCTCTCTCTCTCTCTCTCAGCACTTCATCTTCTTCAATCTCCATTCTCTGCAAAGAGATAACATCATCTTCATGCATCATCATCTTTATTCCTGGTAACAACCTTCTGCAATCTACTTCAAGAATTAGAAACTTCATCAAGTCTTCATCATATTCTATAATTTCTTCATGATTCTTCAAGCCTCATCGCTTCAATTTCCTGCAACAGACATCACTTTCATCGCAACTTCAATGACTGCAGCAAGAATCTGCAACCATGAATTGAGTCAACAATTATCATCGTTCTTCTTTCGATCAACATCTCTGCAGAAAAACGCAAATCACGTGGTATCAACTCTTCACTTTTCAATGAAACACATAGTTTTACAAAACAATGCAAGAGATCAAGAAATAAAAATTGCAGAATGAGAAAAAGGAGAACATACCAAAGTACCTGAATATGCAATATTATTTGGTTTTCTCTCCAATTTAACAGTGTTTTCGTTGAAACACTCACCGAGACAAGCTTCTGTCTCACTGAGACGGAGATATTGAGAGAGGCAGAGGTAGAAAGGCTTCGCAGCAAAGAGGACGGTGGAAAGAGTATGTATACAGCGTTACGCTTTGTTCATCAAAAGAGAGCAAAATCTGAAACTGAAGTGGATGGAGCATCGAAGTCAGAGACGGGTGATTGACGGAGGGGTGAAGTCGCGGAGATTGTTAATCGGAGGAATAGGGAAGTGGCACCCTTTGCACAAAGAGGAGAGGAAGTTTGTTCGTGGGAATTTGAGAAGTCACAATCTCAACCCTAATTCCTCTCACACACACTTTTTTATTTTCATTATTTTATATATTATTTACTATTTGTTTAGATATTTCAATTGTAATTAATAATTTAATTTAAAATGCTTAAATAATTGAATTGGATGTTGGGTAAGGAAGTGGACTGAATCACCCTTAGTCTTAGGCCTAGAAGGATAATTTTTGGCAGCTTCTTGATTCCTGAATGAAAAAAATGTTAATGGACCTCATTTTGGAATGGGTTGTTATTTTGCAACCCCACTGTTTGATCCATACACCACATGGATTTTCCTTTAATTTTCATTTGGTTATTAATTTTGTGCAATTAATTGTTGATGATTCCTTCGTGATTTTTTGCTGAAATTTTATGTAGATGTTAATAGGTACATGTGGAGGCCTTGGATCACTTTCCTTGGACATTAGCCATTTGTTACTAATTATTGTACTTTTATTGCTTAAATTTCGGTTAAAAGTTCCTTGGATATTATAACAAGCAAATAAGTGTCACATCCCTCCATGGAAGCTTTCGATAAAGTTTTCTTATCGCTTGTGTGGTTTTGAAGAGGCAACGGTATAACGCCCGTAATTTAATTAATTATTTAATTAAATTGTTTTGTAATATTTGTGAAGTTGTGTTGTGATTAGTTGGAATTATTTATTTTATTAAGTGGTGAAATAATATTATGAGAAGGGTGATATTATTTTGTTGTGGGCTTGTTTTAAAGGAATAAAAGCAATAAGGGGGTGTATTAGTTTTAAGCCCATTAAGGAATAAAAAGAATAATAGGTTATTTTATTATTATTAGAAATAACAAGAAAGAAGAAGCAGTAAGAAGAATAAGGGTTTGAAAGGAAGAACGTGAAGTTGTTGGAAAAGAGGAAAAACGACAGAACGGGAATTCAACCGGAAGTTATAGAGTGACCTTCAATCCAAAGTAAGGGTGGGGTTTTGACTCTATAATAGGGTTCATGATAATTGGTATATGGGGTTAGAGGTGATTGTTGTCTTGTTCATGAATTGAATGTATATGAGGTTGTATGATGAAAAATCGATGAATTTTGGATGAATAATGATGTCCCGATGTTGTTTAATTAATGTAGAATCATAGGATAATTGTAAGTGATGATTATTTATGATTAGATTATGTTTTAGGGCTTAAGGTATGGAACCCGTAGTGAAAACGTAGAGACAATCGTAGAAAATACCCTTAGCATAGCAGTATGTGTCGACCCCAAATGCTATGTGTCGATACAAGAATGTTGTTAGACTCAGTATGAGTTGACACGAAGGAGTCATGTGTCGATACATGAGGGTTTTCAGACTCAGGATGAGTCGATACATAGAAGCATGTGTCGATACATGCAGAGTTTCATACTCAGGATGAGTCGATACAAGGGAGGATGCGTCGACTCATGTTTCGAGTTCAGTTCAGTATGCTTTGACCCAAGGCATTATGCATCGATCCATGTTGTCCTGTTTTTGGCAGAATCAGTTTGAGAATGCTATAACTTGAGTTTTCGGACTCCGTTTGCGGTGTCATTCAAAGTGTTGAATAGATAACACGGTGAACTTCATTCTTAAGGATTAAAATGAAGAATAGGAAGTATAATCCTAGTATCTAAGTTAGGAATCGGATTAGTTCTCGTGTTGATCGTTATGTTGGTTTTTGTGAAGAAAGATGAGGATGAAATGTTTAGAGATTTCTATGTAGTTGTAACAATGGGATTAATGATGATGACGGTGTGGTATTACAGAATAGTAGTATGTAGAGGTTTGGTGATTTAGAAGTAAGCCTTAGTTGATTAACTAATTATAGGAAATATCTTGTTATATGCCTATGGCCAATGTTGTGAAATTTATGAGTTACTGTTGTATTACTGTACGACTGAGTTGTTGATGAGATGATGTTAATAAGAGTTTGTTTTGATGAATTATGATGTATAAATGATGTTTGACGATTTATGATGATAAATGATGTTGATGAATGATGTTGATGAAAAAGATGTTGAGATGCTTTTAAGATGTAGGCTTTTGGCCAACGATGATGTTATATTGAGATGTTGTCAATTATGGTGTTGTCATTACATTCATGATTGTGTTGCATACATTGCATTTTGAGATGGAGCTTGTGCTCATTTAGATGGAATGTATTGGCGAATATTTAGATGAAGGCTTATGCCTTGTTGATGTCTCTATTAATTGGAAATTTTTGAGATGGGAGTTCTGCTCCAATGGTACCACACGCATTTGCATAGTATTGAATCGCATTATCTGATTGCATAAAGAGGTTGTGCATTGAAGTGGTATATGTGTATATTGTTGATATTTTGTTACGATGTTTTTTGTTTGTAATATGAGAAGTGGTGATGTTATGTGATCTAATTTAATATATTAATTATCATACGCTTTATTATATTGTTAGATATCTCACCCCTTCTGTTTGAATGTTGCCTTGATGTTGGTAACGTGCAGGTAATCGAGAGTGAAGGTTGTATACCTTCAATAGTTCGAGTCGGTGTCATTGCTCTAATATGTAACACTCGGGTGGATGAATGCTTGTTGCTTTTGATTGTTGATTATTCAATTGTTGAACTTTAAGTTGATTATTATTAAGTATGTGTTATTTTGAAGTTGTTGTAACAATGATAAAGACGTTATTAAGAATTTTGTTGCGTAGATGTTTAAATTGTTAAATTATTTAATTAAAGTATTATGTTGATGGTTCATCCAAAGTTTTAAAGTGTTATATATCCACGATTAATGCAATGAGTTTTTAATGATGAATTTGTGGCATCCTGATTCATTCACGTGAATGATTTTATAATTCTGATTTATTTATAATTGTCGGGTAGAATTGGGGTGTTACAAAGTTGGTATCAGAGCAAAAGGTTGGTCCGACCTTGTCGACGAGTCGTAGCTGTCTAATAATTGAGTATTGTTAATTTGAGTTCTAACCGTTGTTTATGTTGTAGTGATAAGTTGAGATGGCTGGAAGGAATGATGTTGCACTTGTTGCTGATTTAGAAGCAATGGCTCATGCGATGGAAAATCAGCCGAATTCTGACGGGAATGCTGGATCTCGTAGTTTGACGACTTTCCAGAGAGAGAATCCGCCTACGTTCTAGGGAAAGTATGATCCTGATGGAGCATTGGAGTGGTTGAAAGAGATTGAGAGAATCTTCCATGTGATGGATTACACTCCAGCGCAGAAGGTTCGATATGGTACTCATATTCTAGCAGTCGAGGCTGATGACTGGTGGCTAGAGACTTGTCAGAAGTTGGAAGCTACAGGTGAGAATGTCACTTGGGTTGGGTTTCGTAGGGAATTTCTAAGGAAGTAATTTCCTAAAGATCTTCATGGTAAGAAGGAAATTGAATTCCTTGAGCTGAAGCATGGGAATATGTCTGTTGTTGAGTATGCTGCCAAGTTTGCTGAGTTGGCGTAGTTTTATATGCACTATGCTGAGGCAAATGCTGAGTTTTCGAAGTGTATCAAGTTTGAGAATGGGTTGCGCCCTGAGATAAAGAAGGTGATCGGATACCAGAAGATCCGTGTCTTTGTGGATTTGGTTGATATTTGCAGGATTTATGAGGAGGATAATAATGCTCATTACAAGATTATCAGTGAGAAGAGGGGTAAGCACCAATAGAATTATGGTAAGCCTTATGGTACCCCAGCTGGTAAAGGTAAACAGAAATTTTCTCAGGGTCATAGGACTAGTGGGGGAGATGCTCCTACTGGTGTGGTTTGTTTTAAGTGTGGAAAATCTGGGCACAAGAGTAATGTATGCACTACTGAAGTGAAGAGGTGTTTCTGTTGTGGTAAGAACGGACATGTTGTATCTGAGTATGAACATAAGGATGTGATTTGTTTCAATTGTAAATGAGAATGGCACATTGGTAGCCAGTGTCAGAAACCAAGGAAGGCACTGACAAGTGGTAAAGTGTTTGCTTTGGTTGAGGATCAGGCAGCTACTGAGCACAAACTTATCAGAGGTACATGTTTCATTAATAGTACTCCTTTAATTACTATTATTGATACCAGTGCTGCTCATTGTTTTATTGCTGCTGATTATGTTAAAAGATTGGGTCTTATGTTGTCTTCTTTGAATGGAGAAATGGTCGTCGATACTCCAGACAAGGGGTCGGTGACTACTTCTTTTGTGTGTGTTAAGTGTCCCTTGTCGATATTTGATAGAGACTTTGCTGTTGATTTGGTGTGTTTACCGCTAAGAGGTTTGGATGTGATTTTGGGTATGAACTGGTTAGAGCATAATTGTGTTCATATTAACTGTTATGATAAGTCTGTGAGGTTTTCTACTCCTGAAGAAGAGGAAGATGGTCTATTATCTGCTAAATAGTTGAGGAAGTTTGTGTAAGAAGAAGCACAAATGTTCTCGTTGATGGCCTCGCTATCTATAGAGACTAAAGATATAATTGAGGATTTGTAGGTGGTGTGTGAATTTCCTGAAGTTTTCCACGATGAAATTCCTGATGTACTGCCGGGGAGGGAAGTCGATTTTGCAATTGATCTTGTACCTGGTACCAGACCTGTGTCTATGGCACCATACAGGAAGTCTGCATCTGAATTGTCAGAGTTAAAGAAGCAATTGGAAGAGTTATTTGAGAAGAAGTTTGTAAGATATCATCGTGGGGAGCTCCAGTGTTGTTAGTAAAGAAGAAAGATGGAAGTATGAGGCTTTGTGTTGATTATAGACAGTTGAATAAAGTGACAATTAAGAACAAGTGTCCGCTTCCAAGAATAGATGACTTGATGGACCAATTGGTGGATGCTCGTGTGTTTAGTAAGATTGATTTAAGGTCGGGTTACCATCAGATTAAAGTGAAGGATAAAGATATCCAGAAGATGGCTTTCAGAATGCGTTATGTACA